TTGAGAAAATACTCAAGCATAATATCAAACATAGAGGATTTTTTTTAAAATGACAATGCCCATCAGGGGCATCTCTAGGTTTAAGAGACATGGGTGGCTCAGCCCCTAGAAGATAATGCGCGCGCCGAATTTTTTCAGTGCACCTGCTAAGGCGTTGTCTAAGACAAGGGTGTAACTTTGTGTTGAAAGTTGGTGGGGACGGCTCATAAGGAAAGGGAGCTACCTGCGCGACGCCTTTTTTTTTTGTTGGAAAGGATAAAGCCAAAAAAATGCGAATAACATTTATCAATTTAATGCTTACAGTTGAAAACATAACTGTTACAATATTCACTTATATATTTTGTGCAAAAAATATCACATAAATCTAAACAGACAGTACAAATCAAAGAAATATATCAATTTTGTAGAACATTTATTGACAGTCAATTTTAGGTCACTTTTTAAAATTAATTTACTTTTAAACCAGGACTCGGACAAGATCTTATGGGACCTTAAGCAGAATATGATTAAGCAACTCTGTCTTTCTGGAACATCCACCAGCAATACTAGGCAGTTGCCTAGGGCCCCAAGTTCCTGGGGGCCCCATAAAACTCTGTTTCCATGTATGGTTAATACAACTAATCCTTATTTGTGCACATTAATTATGTTTTTGATAAAAATCCTTTGGCTAAAATGCCATCAGAACGCTGATAAATAGAGAGGAAAAAGGGACAAGAAGAGAGGGACAAAACCTAGAACAAATAATGGATGTCTATTCTATTAACATTTCTCTATCTGTAGAATGGGTCTGTTTTATGGGTTTTCTTCTCAGGGGGCCCCCTGCCTGTCTTTGCCTAGGGCCCCAAATTTCCTAAATCCGCCCCTGAGGGTATCAATACTGATTTGATAGAATCTGGGAGAGCGGACTATGTTCAACCATCCATTTTCTTTAACCTTATCCCTCAGTGGGATCAGGAGGTGCTGGTGCATATCTCTAGCCACGTTCTGGGTGAGAGGTGGGATCACCCTGGACAGGTCACCAGTCTGTCGCAGTATGTTCAACCAGCTTAAAAGTAATCGGTAATCAGATTTATTATTTGCACTTTTACTAAGTGAACTTTCTAACTCCCTTAAATCTGAAATTCCAATGCCAAAATTGTTTAAATCTTTTATCTTTGGACCCCCTGCAGAGTGACGTCACACCTGCAAGATCCTATCCTTACCTTCCTGCTAGGTTACGACTGTTCGCCTGCGTTGTTCGCCTGTCAGCTGGGTTATCTGTCAGCTGCCTATCTGCCGTCCTGTTGCTGGCTTCATACCTGCAAAGCAGCTTGCTCATGAGTTGTCAACATAACACGCTAAATCTTAAATGTACGTGTACATATAAAAGAAAAAGGGGCGCAGTGCTTGCTACTGAATGGCAACACTATCAAAGTCAGGAAAAAGTTTTAAGTAAAGCCGGGATTAAAACAGTAGCTACAAGAAGCTTCAAATAAAAGGTGTTCTTTATGTTCAACCTAAACACCAACTCCGATAGACCATCAGTAGAGCAGGTGTTTAAATTAATCAATCACTGCTGCGAAAGCTTATAGCAGTGAAAGCTAATATACCACAGCCATCACTTAATAAACGCAAAATAAACAACCCTCTAAAAACGGAAAACTGTAATGGACTGAAAGTCCTGTTTTTTATGTGGGAAATTATTTGCGTGTGTTTTAGTATAGTTCTGATATATTGGCGCTGTTGTCTGTTTCTATGGCAACGATACTGAATGTAGTGTAGCTTAGAGACCTGCACGGGTCGAGTTTTACCAACCCGCACCCGCCCGAACCCGTTAGGATGACTACCGAACCCGACCCGTTACCCGCGGATATCTTCAATTCAAATGTTATGGGGAGAGGTTGGAGGGGGGTGATGGGGAGAAAGCGAGAGCCAACAGATTCTTTTTTCTGAGTTTTTTGTCGGGGTTTGTGGACGGTGAGCAGCGGGGAGAACTTTTTTTTATTTTCTTTCTGAGGAGCGGCATGAATGGGGTTTTAATCAGATAAACACAGCACCGAAAGCAAAATACGTGTACAAAATATTGGTGGGGACATGTCCACACCAGTCCTTAAAGAAGTTACGCCTATGATTGTTCAGATTAACTTGTCTTCTTTATGGCTTTTATTCGGTGCTTTACTGCATTTGTTTTTGGAAAATATGAGGAAAAAATAAATACAGAAAAAAAATATATATTTTTTTTAATCGCAAAATAATTATAGGGTGGCTAATGCCAAAGAAAGGGTGACTGAAGCCACCCTTAAATAGGTCTAACGACGCTTATGATGCCCATAACAGAACATTCTAGAATAAGTACGGAAACATCTTTTTAATGTGTCCCTCAGGTTATCCTAAAAGATTCAACAAATATAATAAAAATACATAGAATTGCAGGTTCTTTTCTTTTTAGAATCATAACTGAAAGTTTATTTATTTCAAAAACTCAATTCAATAATGATCACTTTAGCACAGCTCAGTCAGCTCAATATTTTTCTAGATCCGCCCCTGCCTCTCATACACACACACACACACACCCACACACCTCTCACACACACACACACATACACTGTACCAGAGACTTCACCTTACCTGCACTACCTCAGCCTGTAATAACAATTTATTGATTTTATTGTAATGTCTATACTTCATATTTATCTTATCACTGTTACCTGTCATGTCCCGCACTTTATGTCAGTTTTTAAATGTCAGTCTTGTATATTTCTTGTATATTTGTATATTTCTAGAGAGTAAACGTAATTTCATTTCCCTTGTATGTCTTGTACATATGAAGAAAGTGACAATAAAAGCTGACTTGACTTGACTTATCCTGTTGCTGTAATCCAATTTGTTTTTTAACTGAAACGTTTACGTTTGATTTATAAAAAAAAATACTGTTTTATATACCACCATATGTGTATATTTATATACAAAAAGTCTCTACATTGAGAGTAAAGTGTAACCAGATATAAATCCCTTGTTTGTTAGCACAAATTTCACCAATAAAGCTTATTTCTGTTCTTGGATAGTAATCTGCTTTCTACGGTGGCAACAGCCATTGGGAGAAAAGCACCACAACGATGGCTCCGATCTCAGTCAGAAATAAGAAAGATGATTCAGAGTGTTTTCCCTCTGCTTGGAGTTATTTGGGAAATAGTGGTTTTCTGTGGATTAAAATGTATGGAGTTTCCTGAAAGAATATATGTAGTTTAGAATGGGAAATTTTGTCAACAACCAAATAACTTGAGATTTATAATACAAGAAACAGTCGCAGAATTTAAAGAAATTGTCATATTAAAGGAAGAACTCAATCAGCACAGACCGCCTGATTGAAAACTGTAGGCCTGACAAAGTCTCAAACCAACTGAGCTGATTTTTTTTCACCAATTACACATTTGAAGTGAAACTGCTGGATACAGATTGCAGTTAAGTAATTAGTTTTTGATTTCTTATAACCTCATAATAATTTGGTAGATTTGGGTATCACTTATCCTTAGTATTTCCTTTGCATGGCTGTGATATGGCTGAAAATGTTTCAGTATATAATCACTTTGGGAACCTTTGATGTGTTGATAGTGTGGAAATGTTGATCATTAGGCAGTTCAGATATTCAAAAAGAGCAGGAACAGTAAAAATATTAATGTCCAAGAAATAATACTGCTTGTAATAGTAATACTTTAAGGGGGAAATAAAGGTAGGCTATATGGAATATGATGATGTAATTCAATTCATCCTGCGGTTTACATCCTGTCCAGTAGGTGGCAGTAACATCCAAGTGAGAATCCAAGTGAGAGGCGGCAACGGACCTGAACATTAGAGAGACCACTATGAGCATTTAAGAGAAGTGTTATCTGGTATAGTTAAGAAAATTGGAGAGGTAATGAAGTTGGTGGAAATATTTTACTTTTATTGGTAAAATTTTATGTACACAAATGCCGTTTCTTTAAATGTAAACCATTTATATCCCATTGGAAAAATGAGACAAATTGTGTAAAATCATTAGAATTTGTAAGAACAAAATGTGCAAAGGTGGTTGTTTTCATTTTTCCATAAAATGCTGGCATAGCTTATATCTCAATGTTTTTAAGGTATTTCCTGCGTAATAGAAAAAGAATAAAAATTGACTGAATGTTTCTTGCTGTACGTTCTTCATAAACATTTTGTAGATGGCTGCGTTTTTAAATAGTTAAGAGTATGTAGATCAGTGTAAAACAGAAGTCTTAAAACACCAGCTTAAATTTTTATGGAAAAATTTTTTAAAAAATTTGCCAAATAATTTTTAAGGTTTAGACAATATTTCTGGTCCCTTAAACACATTAAAATGAGTGAAATTAGCTACCAACCAATCTTAAAACTATTGTTTATTCTTTCCTTCTATTCAGTAGTTTGGTGACTTAAACTTTGTCTTTCATTTAATAGGGACATTTATTATACTCTTTAAACTGTTTTTATTTTACAGAAACGGCATAGTTCCTCTTGCATTGTTTAAGCTTTTAAAAGCATTTTTTTATTGCCATAGGATAATTTTGAGACTGAAATAATTTATAACATCTTCTTTTTATTACATATTCCTTTATTACGGTGATTAATTGTTTAGAATTAAATTCTGATAAACAGAAAATTTAATTCTTGATTTTACAGATAAATCCCTTAAAGGGTTTTATAATGTGTTTGGGCTAAAAATTCAACAGATTCAATGAAATGATGCAGTGATCCTGAACGGGAACATTTTTGTTAATATTATGAAAAAAATATATAAAAGATTTGAAAGGCTGTCACTATTATAGAATAAAACAAATTAAACTAATATGCAGTGAAAACTATTTAAAACTATTTTTAAAAACTGTAATTTTGCTGTGAAAATATCTAAATGTTTCAAAAATATTAACTTCTGCTTTGAATCATTCTGGGGGAAAAGAACCTTCTGATCTTCTACTCCATACCAGTTGATGGCGCTATTGCAGAAATCTCTTGTTTGCCAACTACAGTAAGCACCAAGAAGAAGAGTCATTTCAGAAATAGCAGATTATCTGAAAATGTGAGTGTTTATTTTAAGGATGGCGTTTATTCGGTCTCAGAGTGACTTTGCACAAGAGAATTTAACATCTGATGAAGAAACGTTGCCAGATTTTGAGGAAGTTATCGTAAAATCAGAGGACGAAATCGATGATCCACCAACTCCGTTGGATGTCAACCGGCGAGGTATTAAATAAGCGATACTAACGTCGGTAAAATTGTTCAAATGTTCGTTCATTTTCCTTAGGCGAAGACGTGGTCACATAGAAACTGAAATCTCGGCTCCTTGAGGTTTAACAGAGATCAGCATCCAATATGGCTGCCCGCTGATATAACAGATAAAAATATCAGGTTCCCTCTGAATGGGATGTTTCATGTTCAATCTCAGTGACCCACAAATTATTTCACAATATCTACTTGTGAAAATGTCTATTTTGTAATGAATCCTAACCCTGTTTTGCTAATCATAGCTAACATAATAATAAAAAAAAGTAAATCCCACTGTTCTCCCATAAAAATATTCTATTTATATATAATATTTTCATGCATCTCCATGTATTTACAGCATCTGATATGTGGCTTTGGCAAAAGTCCTGAAAGAAAGTGCTTTATGCCAACATTTAAGCTTTAAATACTTCACTATCAGTGTACAGTTTGTTAGATTATAGCAAGCTAAATCTGCCAACTGGAAAGAATGAAGAGTTGATGGTTTACAGATTGTGATTTAGTTAAAATAAAACTTTACCTATCTTAGGGAGGGTCCATAAATAAAGAGCTATAGACAAACAGTTTTTTATTTTTTATTTGATGATTATAGAGATGTATCGCCACATTAACAAATCCTGTGATCTTTCAATGAGGAGTGAAAGGTAGAAAACATTTCATTTTATCAGGCTACAAGAACAAAAAGAGTGTTTTTTTTTGTTTTTTTTTACAGGAGAGATTGGTATCAAAGTTCACTTTGAGTTGAAATCAGGGGCGGATTTAGGAACTTTGGGGCCCTAGGCAAAGACAGGCAGGGGGCCCTCTGAATTGAGAAGACAACACATTAAACAGACCAAATATACAGATATACAGAAATTTTAATAAAATAGATATACATGATTTGTTCTATGTTTTGTCCCTCTTTTCTTGTCCCTTTTCCTGTTCTTTTCCTATCCAATCCAATCCACTTTATTTATATAGCACATTTAATTACAGAAAAAGTTTCCAATGTGCTGGACATAACTAATAATAAACAACAACACAACAACACATAAACACAATACATCAATAAATAAACTAAAAAGGACACAGAGGACCACACAAACTACACGTTGTTAAAAGCTAAAGAGTAAAAGTGGGTCTTAAGACGAGACTTAAAACACAACACAGTAGAGGCAGTCCGTATATGGAAGGGCAAAATATTCCAAAGTCTGGGGCCAACTACAGAAAAGGCTCTGCCCCCTCTGGTTTTAAGCCTCATCTTAGGCACTATTAACTGAAGATGGCCCTCAGACCTCAGAGAACGTGCCGTAGAATAAATCTGGAGGAGATCAGTGATGTATTGAGGAGCCTCTCTATGTTTTGTATTCAGCTGACAGGAGGCGGGGTTATGAATCTACTTGCTCTGGAGAGCAGAGTTTGCTGCTTTTATATATGGTTTCCAAAGCCTCCAGTAGCAGAAAAATGCCACCAGATAGGCACCGTTTTTTGATTTGCTGCTGTCTGTTTGGACCTTTCTGAACACGATCTTTCAATGCAAATGATACACTTAATATTCAAGCGTTCTGATGGCATTTTGGTGAAAGGATTTCTATCAAAAACACAATTAATGTTCACAAATAAGGAATAGTTGTATTAACTTTACATGTAAACAGAGTTTTATGGGGCCCCCAGGAACTTGGGGCCCTATTTAACTGCCTAGTATTGACTAATGGTAAATCCCCCCGGTTGAAAACAGCAGCAACTGTCTCAGAGTAAACCCAGCACTTTTTGCCTTTTGACAGCAGATGATCAAACTATGAAGTAATATGATTTTGTAAGATCTATAAAAGAAGGCTCATTATAAGGAGAACCATTCTTTGCTTTTTCTCAGAGAAATCCCAGTTGTTTTCCTCCTTTTCCTTCACCTTTATAAATGTGCTTTTGTGTAATCTGGAAAATGCTGTATAAAAATGTATTTTTTTGCTAAGAACTGTAGTTTCATTAATAAATTTAACATTAACACAGTCAATCATGCTTTGGATAAATATGAAAAATCAAACATCTGTCTGTCAGACACATCATGTTATGCTCCAACATAAACTCGAGCTGACAGCGTTAAAAGTATAATAGGAACATTTTGCCCATTAGGATTCATAAGAATGACTTTCTGAGAAAACACCCTCTCTACATGACTCATAAGTTTACCATGTGAAAGTATGTATATTTTGTTTGTTTTTGGCAGAAAAGACAAACAGTTTAACAAGAATTTTTTCTCATAGAGGGAGTGTTGTAAGTTGGAATGATTATCAGAATATCTTGTCATATTTAGTATATATTTCATATTTAATATAACTGAAATATATGATAAAATGTTTTATTATTTTTTCAAATAAGTTAAACGTTTGGATAATGAATGTATCCATGTGAGTCATCATCACTGCAATAGTATATGCTGCTCTTAAGTGTCATAGTTCACTGCTGCATTGGAGGTAAAACAAAAAAAAAGATGGTGTAGGTACCCAATCTACTCGGGGCCCTGCACCTTCTTATGACGTCATCACACAAACTGTATTGCACCCGTTTCTTAAGGATAATATATCTTCTGGAGTCTCAACATTTTACCTGTATTTGCTATGATTTTATTTTTTATTGGCGATCTAAAGTAGCTGAAAGTAGAAAACAATCATTCTCAGTGTTGAAGGAAAGTACTTCCTTCTAAGACAGACTGAGCTTTGCCATTTAACAAGGTGACACAAAAAGTCTCAGTGCTTCTTATTCTTTTTATTAAGATCTGAGGGCAAATGGAACATCTTAATGGAAATGGCTTTCGTGCAGATTTATTTATACTTGTAGAAAAGTATATTCTTATATGTGCGTCTATGCCAACAACCATAGACATAGAAAGAAGAGTAGAGCCTGCATCAACTGCTTTCTCCTAAGGTTGATGACGAGATTTAGTGGCGCCATCTTGGAGCGATCGACAGCTCTGCTCATTGTAAGGTGTTGAGCAGGCACAGAATCAATTTAATCTTTATTTGCAGCCCTAAATGGTTCATAAAACGCATCTAGAAAAGTAGCTAATTATCTTCAAATAAGGAGAGGGAGAAAAAAAATACGTGTAACCCCAAGTTTCTAGCTAAGCTCCTGCTTATAGCTACTGTTGAAAATTGAGATTTGCTCAAATCATTTTATGTGCTCAAAAAACAAACACTTCAAGCTGACATTTTACCCCATTTACTTGTCTGCCCTATCTGTGTTTGTTTAGCGTTTAGATATATTATACCTTTCAATTTTTGTTTTTGAAAAAATACAACAGTTAATACACTGTTATAGCTAGCATCATGTTGATTATTAGTGATTTTATAAAGCTAGGACTTTTCTTTCTTTTTTAATTAAAGAACACAGGTGAGCGTATTAGCTGTGAGGATTTTTAACTAAAGATATTGAGATAAATCAAAACTTATAAGCTACTTAATTAAGAAGTTGTTAGATAAATCTAGTTCAGGGTATTTTAAAGCTAAAGATGATTTTTAAGTATTTTTCCAGTAAATTGTAAAAAATTGGCAAAATTTGGATAGAAAAATAAAACGTAAAATTTGATCTAAGTGCTAATCTTCCCATTTAATAAGGCTAATGTTAGCTAGCTAGTTAGCTGAATTCGACTAGCTAGCCTGTTCTCTTTTCCACTGATGTCGTCCTGTTTTAGCTGTAAAGTTAACTTTCTAAATACCGTTGTCTTAATTACAGTCATAGGTGGCATTCATACATTTCCAGCCCCCAACTATGCAAGAAACTCATTATTTTTAAGTAAAAAGGAATGAGTTTTGTGATTTTTATTTTTCAAACTGGGAAAGTAGGAGTGACGCTGCACCAAATTCAATACAATCAAAAGCTTTGTCTGCCATTCAATCAAATGCAGCTGTAGGATTGATGGGATGGACATTAACACACCTTCAGACTAGTAGCTGACCTATGCTGTGTACTTTAACCCTTGGATTTAAGTATTTTTTTCTCTTCTGCTGTCCAGATCTCCAACAGCATGGCGTTTGGAAAGAGGATGCTCTGGCTGATCCTCTCCACAGCCACAAGAGGAACCTCAGTTTGGACCAGGAGGAGCCAGAACTGCAGATAAAAGAGGAAGAGATGGAGCTCTGCATCTGCAGAGATGAAGAGCAGCTTGTGCTGAAGGAGGATTCGGATGCCTTTACAGTGACTCCTACTGATGAGGAACCAGAACCAAACTGGTTCCAACTCGTCTCCCAGGACTCTCCTGAAGTGGATAACCAGGATCAGGGAGGAAGCGATTCAGAAGAGTCAGGGTCAAAGAGTGATGAAGAGCAAATGCTGAATGTGTGGGATGAGAATACCCGGCTGGATCGTCGGTATTCTGTGGCGTCACAGCAGGAGGAGCACAGCACTCACAAAGACAAGAAGCAATATTCATGTAACCTGTGTGATAAAAGCTTTTCTCAAAACAGCAACTTGACTATACACATGAGAAGTCACACAGGGGAGAGGCCTTTCTCATGTGACACTTGCGGCAAAGGTTTTACAACAAAATCAAATTTAACTCTTCACTTGAGAACACACACTGGTGAGAAGCCTTTTCCATGTGCGACCTGTGGGAAAAGCTTCAGCCTTAAATGTATTTTAACCGAACACATCAGAACCCACACGGGGGAGAAGCCTTTTCCATGTCCGGCCTGTGAGAAATGTTTTCCCTCAAAGAACCATTTGAATAAGCATATGCGAATCCACACAGGCGAAAGGCCTTTCTCCTGCCTGACCTGTGAAAAAAGGTTCAGTCTAAAGTGTAATTTAACCGAACACATGAGGACTCACACTGGTGAGAAACCATTTCAGTGTTTGGCCTGTGAAAAAAGTTTTAACTCCAAAAATCATTTAAACAAGCACCTGAGAATCCACACAGGGGAGAGACCTTTCTCCTGCGCGATCTGTGCAAAAAGGTTTTCTCAGAAGAGCTGTTTAACGGATCACATGAGAACTCACACGGGGGAAAAGCCTTTTCTGTGCGATATGTGTAAAAAGGCCTTCAGCCTCAGAAGTAGTCTGAATAACCACATGAGAATTCATACAGGAGAGAAGCCCTTTTCATGTCACACTTGTCAGAGAACGTTTGGTCTAAAGAGCCGTCTGAACAGACATATGAGATCCCACACGGGGGAGAAACCTTTTACATGCAACGCGTGTACGAAAACATACAGCCTGAAGAGTAGTTTGACTAAACATATGAAGACTCATATTAGCTAGAAGCATCTGCTCTGTGTGATGCGTCAGAACCAAGCGGTAGCAGCTTTTTACTATGAAAACTCAAGTTTGCTTGTCGGTTTCGTGGGGAAGACTTTCAGTGGTTTTGCTGTCGACTTGAAAAATTACACAGATGAGAATGTGGAATGTGAGTTTTGATAAATTTTCCCATACTGGGGTGTTTTAAGTTGATTATTTAACAAATTGAAGTCTGGAGAAGCAGAAGTATTGTTTTGAGGAAAAAACTGAATTCAACCACTCACTGAATTTTAGACCACTGAAATTCAGACAAGATCAGTTTGCTTCAAAGTCAATCTGAAATCAAATTAGATGGATGTGGAAGATCTCTGTTTCCGCATCACAATCTCAGTTTAATAAAAGAATAGAGACAAAACTTAGGCTAAATTGTTAGTACAGATGTTTCTCTAAAACATAGGAACTGCTATTGCTATTTTGTTACCTTACACATGTACCAAAGTTTGCAATAAGATTTGGAGTAATGTTTTAATATTTTGTTGGAAATTAGTTCTGAGGCTTAACAGGTTACATGACTAATTCCCAAAGTGGGAACGCTACCCTTAGAAGCGGAGGCACAGTGTTATTGCTTTAAAAAAAAAACAAGGACACTGTGACTTTAAAAACTACTTTAAAAACTGCCTTTTGTTTGAAAGGGGATTTTAGCTTTTTTTTTTTATATGGTTTATTACTATAGTTCAGCTGCTGAAATGATTGGTCATAAGGGTTTCTATAAACTTGCTATTGGTCAGGAAATATGTGCAAAATAATAGGAACAAACCTGATGAACTCTGTGTGCAGGAAACATGGAATAAACCAACTTTGGATTTTGTTATCAGGGCATATGATTGTATTCGTAGAGATAGACAGGAAGAAAATTGTGGAGGATGTATAATTTTTGTTTATTGTGAATTTATGGTTGTCATGGTTGGTCTGATATGTCTGACCCACATGCAGAACACTCAGGAAAAACAGGTCACAGATTAACGTTTTATTTTTAAAGGAAATAATAATCCGTAACTCCTCTAGGAAACGACCACCAGAAGAGGAGTTCGCGAGGCGAATCTCTCGAGCGGAACACGAACAATCTAGGGATTAAGGGGAGGAAACAATTAGCGGAGGAAGGCAAGGGCAGAGGGAGAAGAAGAAGGTGAGACGCGCCGGCTTACCACTTAGGCTTGGGAACGACCGGGGGGGGGGGGCTGAGTGAACTTAGCTCTGCAGGCGGAGAGGTTCCGACAGCTGACCGGTGGAGGAGGGCGCAGGCGGGGTCCGAGCGGCGCTGGCCAAATCCTGAGACAGCAGGGGAACCAGACGGATCCGGGGGTGGTCCTTCCACGGCCCGGTTCGGCGGTCCACGAAGCCGAGTGGGTTTCCAGGAGCCAGAGACGAGGGATCAGCTGGGCCAGAAACGAGCTGAGGCGGAAGGCTGCTCTGCTTCGCCTGAGCCTCGGGGGGGAAAAAGGCAAGCAGAACCAACAACGGATAATACTCTGGCGTCCTCCTGCTGTCAGAGTGCAGATCTTATAGTGCAGCCCAGCGCCGCTGAACACACGCCGAGGGCGCGCACCCCGCCCATCAGTCAATTGCCGTCAGCTGTGGAGAGAGCAGAGGGAAAAAGCAGGCCAGCAGAGACTGAGTCCTGACACCACCCCCCCCTCAACGGTCACCACCAGGGGACCGAGAGGAAGACGTGGAGGGACGGGAAGACCGGAAGGACTCAAGGAGTGACTGGTCAGTGATCCAGGAACCGGGAACCCATGACCGGTCCTCGGGACCGCAGCCCTCCCAGTCGACGAGGTATTGAAAACCTCTACCCCGGCGACAGGAGTCCACGATCCCACGGATCCGGCGTCCCTGGAGGTCCGGGGTGGTTGGGGGGGGTTCGGCCGGAGGGCACAAGGGACTAGAGACGACGGGCTTAATTCGGGAAACGTGGAACGTGGGGTGAACTCTAGAGTGGGATGGGAGACGGAGACGGACTGCAGTGGGACTGACGATGGAGGTTATCTCGTAAGGTCCAGAAAAACGGGGGGATAGTTTCCTGTGGGAGGAACGGGAGGGGAGATCCCTAGTAGAGAGCCAGACCCGCTGACCGGGTTGGTAATGGGGCGCCGGGACACGTTTCCGGTCGGCGAATCGGCGGTTCCGCTCCGCCGTTCCTTGGAGGGCCCGAATGGTCTGAGCCCAGAAGTGTCTACAACGGAGAATGTGGTGGTGGACGGAGGGGACCGCAACTTGTTTCTCTTCAGAGGGGAACAGGGGAGGCTGGTAGCCTAGGGAGGCTTCAAAAGGCGAGACTCCGGTGGCAGAGGAAACTTGGGTGTTGTGGGCGTACTCAACCCAGGATAGGTATTTGCTCCAATCTGAAGGATTAGATGAGGTGAGGCAGCGGAGAGCGGCCTCCAGCTCCTGGTTCATGCGCTCCGTCTGACCGTTAGTTTGCGGGTGGTAACCAGAAGTGAGGGTATACCTGGCCCCCAGGGCTGAGGCAAACTCCTTCCAGACCTTGGAAACAAACTGTGGACCACGGTCAGACAGGATGTCCTGGGGGATCCCATGGAGGCGGAAAACATGTCGAACCAGGAGCTGGGCCGTTTGCAGGGCGGAAGGGAGCTTACGTAGGGCGACGAGGTGACAAGCCTTAGAAAAGCGATCAATGATCGTGAGGATAGTCGTGAAACCGTTGGAGGAGGGAAGACCAGTAACGAAATCTAGAGCGATATGGGACCAGGGGCGTCCTGGAACAGGAAGTGGCTGTAGGAGACCGGCAGGGGGTCTGTTAGAATCCTTGTTTTGGGAGCAAACAGGACAGGAGCGCACAAAGTCTCTAGTGTCGCGGGACATGTGGGGCCACCAGAAGTGACGGGAGAGGAAGGAGTAGGTGCGGTGCACCCCGGGATGGCCAGAAAACTTCTCTGAATGGGCCCATAGTAAGACCTGGGGACGAACGGAGGCAGGAACATAGACACGGTCAGGTGGGCCGTCACCTGGGTCCGGGTCCGACTGTTGGGCTTGAGAGATTAGATTCTCGATCTCCCACTTGAGCGCGCCGAAGGTGCAGGAGGATGGCAGAATGGGGGCTGGTTCCTCTTCAGAGTCCGGTGGGGAGTGCAGGTGTGACAATGCATCTGCCTTCTGGTTCTTGGACCCGGGGCGGTAAGAGATGGTTAGATTGAACCGAGAAAAAAAAAGTGACCAACGTGCTTGCCTGGGGTTGAGGCGCTTAGCTGATTGTAGGTAGGCCAGGTTCTTGTGGTCAGTCAAGATCTGCACAGGTTGCTCGGAACCCTCCAGCCAATGGCGCCACTCCTCAAGAGCGAGTTTAATTGCCAGGAGCTCTCTGTCCCCCACGTCGTAGTTTCTTTCTGCTGGAGACAAACGTCGGGAAAAGAAAGCACAGGGGTGAAGCTTTTGGTCCAGATCAGACCGTTGAGATAACACAGCGCCAACACCAGTGTCAGAGGCATCAATCTCAACTGTGAACTGTTTCTTGGGATCGGGGTGAATAAGTATGGGTGCCTGGGAGAACCTAGCCCTAAGAGAACTGAAGGCTGCTTCAGCTTCAGGATTCCACTGGAAGGGGACCTTTACAGAGGTAAGAGCATGAAGGGGGGCGGCAACCTGGCTGTAGCTGCGGATAAAACGTCTATAGAAGTTGGCGAAGCCAAGAAAACGCTGCAGCTCCTTTCTGCTTTGAGGAACGGGCCAGTCACGGACAGCCTTAATCTTATCAGGGTCGGGTCGAACACGTCCCCCTTCAAGGATGAGCCCAAGGAAGGTAATTGAGGACTTGTGGAACTCACATTTCTCTGCTTTGACAAACAGTTTGTTCTCCAGGAGGCGCTGGAGGACAAAACGAACGTGGTGTTGATGCTCAGCCAAATCACGGGAATAGATCAAGATATCATCCAGATAAACAAAAACAAAAACATTCAAGAAGTCTCTGAGGACATCGTTCACGAGGGCCTGAAAAACTGAGGGAGCATTGCACAGGCCGAAAGGCATCACGAGGTACTCGAAATGACCTATGGGGGTCTTGAAGGCCGTTTTCCACTCATCCCCCTGGCGGACCCGTACCAAGTGGTAAGCGTTGCGAAGATCTAACTTCGTAAAGATAGTGGCCGATTGTACCGGTTCGAGGGCTGAGGAGAGGAGCGGTAGGGGATACTTATTCTTAACGGTAATGGCGTTTAACCCATGGTAATCAATGCACGGACGTAGGGACCCGTCCTTCTTTCCGACAAAGAAAAACCCTGCTCCTAGGGGAGAAGACGAGGGGCGTATGAGGCCGGCGGCTAACGACTCGTTAATATATTTCTCCATGGCCTGCCTCTCGGTTTGGGAGATATTATAGAGCCTACTGGTCGGTAGAGGAGCGCCGGGTAACAGCTCGATAGCGCAGTCATAGGGGCGATGGGGAGGTAACAAGCAAGCCTGTGATTTGCTGAAAACCCTCCGAAGGTCCTGATACTGGACTGGCACCAGTTCCAGATCCTCAGGGCCGATCTCGGCAGAGGAAAAACCGGAGGCCGGGCTGGTCGGCACGGCTGCATGCAAACAACGCGATAAACAGTTAGGTGACCAAGATTCGACACGACGGTCGGCCCAGTTAATCTGCGGGTTATGCGACTGCAACCAAGAGAAGCCCAGAACCAACGGAGAATGCTGAACGGGGAACACGAGAAAAGAAATCCGTTCACGGTGATTACCTGAAACAACTAGCTCAAGAGGCTTCGTTTGGTGTGTAATTTGTGGGAGAGCTCCGCCATTTAACGCGGAGACCCTGAGAGAGGAACTCAAAGGAACAGTCTCGAGTCGAGCCTGGTGCACAAAGGATTGATCAATCAAATTAAAGTCGCACCCCGAGTCGAGCAGGGCGGATAACTTAAAAGTTTCTTGCGGAGTAACAACCAAGGCGGGGAGACTAAGCCGCGGGGAGGTAGAGATCTTGGATCGGCCCGCCGGGTTCTCCGCTACTGCCGGCGGACCTGATCTTTTGGCCGTTCAGGACAGGTGCTAATAAAGTGGTCTGAGGAGGCGCAATAGAGACACAATCTGGCATCCATACGTTTCTGTCTCTCCTGAGGGGAGAGCCTTAAACGGCCCAACTGCATTGGTTCCGGAGGAGAGGGTGGGGCGGTCGCGGATCGGGTTGGAGGGCGATCCGGGATTAATGGCCTGGGTGGAAGCGGCCTATCCGCTCTGCCCCGGCTGCTACCCCTAATACGGTTGTCTAAGCGTATGGCCAAAGTTATCATGTCATTAAGGGTCGCCGGTTCCTCCAGGCGAGCGAGTTCGTCCTTTAACGGATCGTCCAAAGACTGAAAAAACACTGTTTTTAAAGCACGCTGTTCCCAGCCCGCGGCGGCCGCGAGCGTGCGAAACTCAATGGCAAAATCAGCTACACGCCTCCCTCGCTGCCTGAGGGCGAGAAGCCGACGAGAATCCTGCACCTCATCGGAATCAGCAGCGAAAACCATTTTAAATTCAGAAAGAAACTCAGAGAAGGTATAACCAAAACTCTGACAGTCGGGAAAGCGGGACTCAGCCCATCTTAATGCTCGCCCGGTCAATAAACGTAAAATAAAAGCTATCTTGGCATAATCCTGAGCATAACGTCGAGGCGACTGGTTGAAAACAAGAGAGCACTGAAAAAGAAAACCTCCACAATCCCCACTGTCCCCCGAGAATTTGTCGGGGCTGGGAGAGAAAGATTCAGGGATCAGTGGAGGGGCATCAGCTGACGCTGAGTCGGAAGCGGGGTTAAGCATGACGGGAGCGGCTGGATCAGGAGCGGCAGGTTCAGGACCGGCGGTGAGCGCGGCCGTCAGCAGATTAGGCTGAGCAGAGATGCCCTGAAACTGATCCTGCATCGAACGAACTACCGTTTCTAACCCCCGAATCTTATCCTGT